GGTGTAACTACTCTGGGCTATCCGTTGTGCCTCTGGAGTCTCTTTATGCCAAACCAGCTAATAGGTCAAGTTCAACTCAACGGTTGGATCAGGTTATATGGCCAGGGCAAACTAAAATCAGACCACGTGGATGGGTATTTCCAGACGATGGGAGGCCGTTAAGGATTGGAGTCCCAAGGAGAGTGGGCTTCAGAGCTTTTGTTTCAGAAAAGGAAGGTAGTGGAGTGGTCCAAGGATATTGCATAGATGTCTTCCTTGCAGCGTTGAAGTGTCTTTCGTACCCTGTGCCACATCAATTCATCATTTTTGGAGATGGACACAAAAATCCAAGCTATACTCAGCTAGTAAATATGATCACAGCCCATGTGAGTACCGTCAATGGCATTGCTATTCCCGCTACTTAAAATTGCAAAACTTATGTGTAGTTAACATTCAGTATAACATTGTTTTCTTATTCTGTGATAGGAATTTGATGCTGCAGTTGGTGACATTACAATTGTAACGAACCGCACGAAAGTATTGGATTTTAGTCAACCATATATAGAGTCAGGGTTAGTGGTGGTGGTACATGTGAAAAAGATGAGGTCGGTTGCTTGGGCTTTCCTGCGGCCATTTACTCCCCTGGCGTGGGGAGTCATAGCCGCTTTTTGCCTTGTTGTCGGAACCGTAGTGTGGATACTAGAGCACAAATTTAATGATGAATTTCGTGGCCCCCCAAAGAAGCAGGTGGTCACAATTTTATGGTGAGTTAATTGGATGCCTTCCTGTTAACCTTCTAAGTACTGTAATGGGAAGTTAATGCAACTACTCAAGTACTAGGATCCTACGAAGCTACGCAAGAAGCTATAGAAAGCAGTGTTTGAATACTATTTTCTTGTATTTCTTTGATGTTCCAACCTCAAAATTTGCATCTTGATCTCTATGATTTGAACTCATCTCCTTGTACCCCCCCTAATTTTGCTTGCAGGTTTAGTTTCTCAACTATATTTGGAGCCCCGAGTAAGAATCTAGTTTCTCCTCCTTTCACAAAAGTCAAGATAATAACTGTATTTATTTGAATTTGTAGTGTTAAACTTTTGCATAATGGTTCAATTCTGAAAACCTTTCAGGAGAAAACACAGTGAGCACATTGGGACGAATTGTACTGCTTATATGGCTATTTGTAATCTTGATAATTACGTCGAGCTATACAGCAAGCTTGACATCGTTTCTAACAGTTCAACAGCTCGCATCATCTATCCAAGGAATTGAATCCTTGGTAACAAGCAATGACGCAATTGGGTACCAAGTAGGCTCTTTTGCTGAGAACTATTTATTTGAAGAAGTCAACATTGCAAAGTCTAGGCTTGTTCCTCTTGGATCACCAGAAGAATATGCTGATGCCCTTGAACAAGGAAGAGTTGCCGCTGTGGTCGATGAACGTCCATATGTGGATCAGTTTTTATCAACTTACTGCGGTTTCCAAAAGGTTGGCCCAGAGTTTACCAAAAGTGGATGGGGATTCGTAAGTATTTCCTTACTCATATAAGTATTATACTCCTACTAACGCTTATAGCGAAGTAATAAATCGACATGAGTGGCAAAATGACTTAACTAAAGAGCTAGTCATGTAACATAAGCTGATAGCTTGATCCAATTAATTTTATAGGCATTTCCGAGAGATTCACCCTTAGCTATTGACATGTCAACTGCAATCTTGCAATTATCTGAGAATGGAGAACTAGAGAAGATTCACAAGAAGTGGTTAAACAGAAAAGTTTGTGGAGGGCAAAGCTCTGAAGCAGATTCAGAGCAGCTTCAGTTGAAGAGCTTTTGGGGTCTGTTCCTCATTTGTGGAGTTACTTGCTGTTTTGCTCTGCTTGTATATTTTTGCTGCATGTTGCGACAGTTCAAACGACATTTCCCTGAATTAACGCAGCGTTCTACTTCTACTAGAACTAGAATATCACATTCAATACGGCTTAAGAAGTTTTTGTCTTTTGTGGATGAGAAGGCAGAAATATCTGCAAATAGGTTGAAAAGAAAGCGGATGGAAATGGAAAACCTTTCCACTAGCTAACGCCATTGCTTCTTGAAATGATGAACATTTTCCAAAAGAGAGACTGCGAAACGTTCTCCTTTGATTCTTGAACATCTTATCATGTAACAACGGAATGTATAGAACAACTAGTGTTTGAAGAATTAACCCAATAACTTTGTAATTTAATATAATAAGATGTTAAATTTTGGGATATTGATGTACAGCTCCACAAATATGGAATAAGATGTTATGTTTTGGGCTATTGATGTGATGAATGTGTTGAATGGTGTTACCTAAGAGAGAGATTGAGAATGTAATATCGTTTATGGACAAAAATACAGGATTGCCAAAAGGCTAACTGAATCTTAAGCCGCTTTATCATGTTAGTTGAGCTCATTTTGGTCTGCCTTAAGAGTTTATTCCTTGTGAGACGGACTTCCTCATCTCTTTCTCACAACAAGCCCAATTAGCATTTCAGCTTTAGGTGCCTTGGGTTGGGGCAAAGTTCGAAGAGATGATTAAATAACTGCCTTGTTTAAAATGCTTCTTATGTACAAATAATTGGTTTGATCAAAGACTAATCCTAATAAATATGAAAGAGAGTAAGATGTAGGAAATAAATAAATAAATAAATAAGATGGTGTGTAAAAGAAAAGAAACTTACAGTAAAACAAAGTAGACAGAAAGTGGCCACCTAGGCTCTTTCATAAGCTTATCAGAAGTGAGTAGAGTTTTTCCGTAAGAACCCTCTTTCCTTTAGAGGCTGGTGATTGGGTGAGAGCCTTTTACAGGCGTTGGCTCTCACTCTGACCAGTAACCACACACTCTTCTTTGCAATGGCTGTCTTCTGTCAGTCTCCCCTCAATCTCAGCCTCATCACCTCCTCACGCAATCTCAATCCTAATCCCTCCTTTAGACTCAATCTCTCCTCTCACACTCGCACCCTCGTCACTGAGCCCCCACCAGTTTTCACCTGCGTCAAGTCATTTGCTCCCGCCACAATTGCCAATCTCGGCCCCGGTTTCGACTTCCTTGGCTGCGCTGTCGACGGCATCGGCGACTACGTCACTCTCCGCGTCGACCCCAACGTTCACCCTGGCGAGGTTTCTATTTCTGACATCACCGGCGCCGGCAAGAAGCTCAACAAAAACCCCCTCTGGAATTGTGCCGGTATCGCCGCCATCTCCGTCATGAAGATGCTCAACATCCGATCTGTTGGCCTTTCCCTCTCCCTCCAGAAGGGATTACCCTTGGGCAGTGGTCTCGGTTCCAGCGCTGCTAGCGCCGCCGCCGCTGCTGTTGCCGTGAACGAGCTTTTTGGTCGCCCATTGGGTGCGTCTGACCTCGTGCTTGCTGGGCTAGAATCGGAATCGAAGGTCTCGGGTTACCACGCGGACAACGTGGCACCTGCTATTATGGGAGGTTTCGTATTGATCAGGAGCTACGATCCTCTGGAGTTAATCCAGTTGAAATTTCCTCACGAAAAGGAGTTGTTCTTTGTGTTGGTGAATCCGGAATTTGAGGCCCCAACTAAGAAAATGAGGGCAGCACTGCCGCAACAGATAACCATGTCCCATCACGTTTGGAATTGTAGTCAGGCAGCGGCGTTAGTGGCGGCCGTGCTGCAGGGAGACCTGTCGGTTTTAGGGAAGGCACTGTCCTCCGATAAAATAGTGGAGCCAAGGAGGGCACCGTTGATTCCAGGAATGGAGGGTGTGAAGAAGGCGGCAATGGAAGCAGGAGCTTTTGGCTGCACCATAAGCGGAGCTGGGCCTACGGCAGTAGCAGTGACTGACAACGAGGAGAAAGGAAGGGAGATTGGGCAAAGAATGGTAGAGGCTTTTATGAAAGAAGGCAACCTCAAGTCCTCGGCGATGGTGAAGAAGCTAGACCGGGTTGGGGCTAGGCTTGTCAGTAGTGATCCTAGATGATTTTTGCGCTAATTGTCATGCCACAGCTTGTTGGTTCCTCATACATCTTTTCTTGGGGGACCAACACGCCTTTGCAAATTTTTCACCGGAATGGGATGGTTCCGACATTCTTCCACCTAATCCATTACGGTCACCTTTGCATAGGGATTTTGATCTTCAGAGACTGATCCATTTTGGGCGGGTTGCCTACTTGAACTGGTACCAAATAATGGAATAACTTAAAATTTTGCCGCATCTTACTGGTAGTAATGATAGTTTGGCAAATTGGCACCAAATCGTCACAGTTCAGTATATGATAAGTGACGTCTGCCTCAACTGCTGTCTTCTAACTTAAGTTTGGTTGTCATATAGGAAGCGAAAGCTATCAACCCAGCTAGAAGTTGAACTTGCATTATTTATAGCATTATAGTAGCTTTGAAGCTATAGTTAGTTTAAGAGAAGTGACAAGATCAACTTCATTTGCCTCAACTCTGATTTTGCTCTATGGTATTAACGTATTCTTCTATGAGATACACTGCTCTGGATAGTGCAGTTGCAATGCTTGATAGTTGATATTGAAACATTCTCTCTTTTATCGTTTTTTGTTTTGCTTAATAAGGTAATATTATTAAATTAAAACATATCTGCTAGTTACAGAGTTGCTGAATATAGATTGGCTTCTGACCCTCCTTTTCACTTCCTTTCCGCTTCTGTTCCTTTAAGTTGATGCATATACTTGGTGCCAATGTTGTGGGCGCTATTTCACCTTTTTTATTCTTTCCTCAACATAGCTCATCAAAAGAGAGATAAAGAATAAGATTGTTGATATTCTTTTGGGGGGCACTGAGGACATCCAACTCTACGAAGCAAAGCTAGATACGTCAAGGGACAGTTCTGCTATGGACGAAGTCGGGCCTTAAGTGATCAAGGAGATAACAAGATGATTAATGGACCTTTGAGTTTCAAGAGCTTGGTGAGTTTTTTGTTTAATCACCACAAGTGATGCTTTTATAAAACAAGTGAACACCTTTGCGGCATTTTAGCAGAACCTTTCACAAGCATGACTACTAATCAAATGACCAAATTTCAAACCAAACAGGAATAAATGGCACTGTTCTAAACAACTGCAGTTGTAATTGGCAGAATCGTAAAACTCATTAAAAGATCTTGCACTGTTCTAAACAACTTAGAAAACTGAATAGCAAACACCACTCTATCAAACAAGGGAAACCTTAAAGCAAACAAAATCCGGGTCTAGGCAAGGCCAACATGTCGTCAAATGATCAGATCAGTTCTTAGCAGCAGCAGCCTGCCTAGCACCAAGAGCGAAGAACTCCAAGATCACTTCAAGGGGCATCCCTTTGGTTTCAGGCACTTTCAAGAAAACAAATATCCATGATATAACACAGACTGATAGCATATATGCCAAATACGCCAGCAAGGCCAATAGAGGACAGCATCACAGGTAGTGTATAGGTAACAATAATATCCCCAATCCAGAATACTAGAGCACAGATGGCAATGCAGATACCTCGGACCCGAGTTGGAAATATCTCTGAACAGAGTATGTTTGGAATGGGCCCGAACCCCATAACAAATGAGCAGAAGTACATAACACCACAAACTGTTGATATAGCAGCCTTTGCAACAGTTCCCATACTCACTAAACTTACAATAACTAGAACAATGAGGGCTATAATTAAGATAGGAATTGTGCTTAGCAGCAGACTCCTGCAATACAACAATATACAGAAAGGCAAAGGTAGAAATCAGATTTGCAGGAATCGAGAAACTAAGGACAATAGGACATCCATTCACTTTTTATCCAGCCTTAAGTGCAGGTAAATCTACTATATTTAAGAAAAGAGAAAAAAAGGATGCTAAAATCTATTATGTGAGAATCATTGTGGAGGAGAACCTTATAAATGTGGCCAACCAAACCTACAAACAAAGATGGATGAAGGACCCCTTGTATTAAATGAGTGGGAACGCTTCCCATAGGCATTGAAACTTGCTTGAACTCTAAATCAACAGTGAACTTGAAGCAGGACAGAGTACAAAAAAGGAAGGGATTTCTTTCTCCCTTTAAGATGGCAACAATTTAGTGCATGGGAAGGTTCCTTTTACACTAAGACCCTGGTTTGAATGGGTAGACTCCCACTACATCCTGCTACTATTATATTTTTCTAGTGCTAATAATGGAAAAGGGCACCCTCAACTTCCATCTGTTAAAGCATTGTTATAAATAGAATTGTATTTATGGTGAATGTCTATATTTAGAGAGATTCTAGGGTTCATTGCTTGGTGGCCAAGTCACCCTCTCCCTATAAATAGAGGGTTCTATTCCATTGTAATTCACTCCAAATCAATAAGAATCCTCTCTCTACTTTTCTCTGCAATAGTGTTCTTCTTTTTTTATTATTTTATAACACGTTATCAGCACGAGACTCTAACCAATTGAGTAGAAGCTTTGGGGTTGATCATAATGATTGTCAATTGTTATATGAATTTCCTTCATACTTAAATTCTGGATTTAAGGTAAGTGATTTACCGTATTTTTCTCTTTTATTCTATAATTTGATTTTAAATACAAGCAAAGACGATAAATTTTGATTGTAACTCTAATGAAGTTTGAAAGACATTATAACCACCCAAAGTGGTAAAGTTTCTATGCCTTGCCATGATCAAATTTATGTATGATTATGGGCATAAGAAGTGAAAACCCGTCCCATTGAATTTGCTTCATTCTCATTCCCTTAAGAGAATATGATAGCAATATGTGATAAGTCTGAAAGAAGACAAAATTATTACCGTGAAGGTATCAATGGATGTGGACGTGGCAATAGACGAAATTATAATCGTCATCATTGTGATAATGAGAATAATAAGGATTCTCAAAATAATCCTTCACTCTGTGAAAGTAATATTTGTCATCGATTTGACATGAGATTTTATAAAGCACATATAGATGATTATGGTCCATTCATGATGTGAATGTGACAACATCTTATTTATGAATATATGTTCATTCTTGGAAGAATATGAACGTGCTAGTGGTAGTGAATATACCACACTCACCTCTAGAAGGAGGTTTGAGATGATATAAGAAAATAATGTCATTATTATGGCATGAATGGTCATTGGTCACGTACTTATTGTATGCCAAAATATTTTGGCATTGTGGTTATTAAAAGACAACAATAATGCAAGAAACAGATCTTGCATGTAATTTTGACCATAACCATAATGGTATAACTTTCTCTTTAAAAGAGATATTCACCATATGTATGTTGATGAATATGTGGTAGTACCAAATTAATTGAGAGCTCTGGAAGAGCCAATTATTACTATTTTGGAGAAACACAATTGATTACCAATAAGGTATTGTGTTGTAGTAAGTCTCAAAGAAACTTAGTCAGTTTCCAAAGTATACGCGAAAGCGGTTGATTATATTGAGACTATAAATAAAGGAAAGATTTAATATCTTTTATTACTGCAACTTGTAGCGGGATAATATGTATGTGAAAAGCCACCCGCTTTATTCTCCGGTTTGTACTACACAAATAAAAGAATACCACACTAAAGTGGATGTTTATTGATATAAAAACCCATATCATAATAAACTTGGAGTTTATTGATAATTGCACACGTCATGGTGTAAACCTAAAGTTTATCAATATTGATAATTTATTCAGTTGGCATAATTGGTTTAGCCATATCAATTTAAGTATGATGTGCAAAAATAATAGAGAATTCACATGGGTAAATATTAAAGAACTAGAAAGTTCTTTATGAATTCTCTTATGTTACTTGTTCTCATTAATTAATAGACCAACTAAAATTGGGGTTGAATCCCATGAATGCTGGAAATATCAAAGGTGAATATGGGCCCATTCACCTGCCATGTATACCACATAAGATGCATCTATGAGATGGTTACATGTGCAATTATTATTAACCCGCAACATGATGTTTTGCGAGGTAACTTGCTCAATAATTTAATTTCGAGCATAATTTCCAGATTTTTTATTCAAGAAGTTCATCTTGATAAGTTGGTTTACATCACAGTTCGTTTAGCAAAATGATTTATTAAGTGCCTCTACTTAATAGCTAAACAATTGCTTATGAGAACAAAGTTATATATATATCAGTTTGATATACGTTATATACGAAAGTATATTTTTTTCTCCACTCACAAGTGGTTCAGGGTCAGGAACCAAATAATTCCATCTTATTATTATTGATGTGCGGTGTATATTTTGATTAACACCATAACGCACAAAGGTGGATTCTCAAAGCTGAGGTAACAAGTTAGTTTTTCTAACATGAGGAGAAGACATGATAAACGGTTGAGAAAAGGTTACATGAATTATCATTTGTACATCTAGATCCTCGAATAAGATAATATGAACTTGAAGTTCATAAAAGGATAATTCATGTCATACCACCCTTGTGGGTTGTTCGCAATTCACATGCAATATAATGCAAAGCATGCCAGACACATTTGCTGACCCAAAGGAAGTAACTATATTCTCATTGCAAATGCTCCTATTAAGTCCTAGAAGGACAAAGTCTATGGTAAGCTTAAAGCGTATAGACAATCGGTTTCAAATAAACTTCTTGATAAAGAAGATGAGCAAATGATCAAAATGATCATAATAAAGGAGGCAAGTGATCTAGAAGATCACATGACATAACACTTCATAAAATCTCAAGAGAGATTCAGGTACCTGAAAATATGAATGAAGAGATCTCTATCTTATGTCTTTATGAAAAAAATATTGAAACCGATATAGAATGTTTGTCGACAACATCTATGATAACGCTAAATATATATGAGCATCTTAAGTCTAGAGAAACAATTCAAGTAGAATTGGTTTCACATGAAAGACATGTAGTTTTGGAATTGCAGTTCAAACACTTGAATATAAAGTAAATGGTATGTGCAATCAGTTTTCGATATCTTATATGTCTAGCATGACATGAAAACTTGATATGCATCTAAAGTCCACTATATGGCTTATATGACTTAACTTATATGACAATCCATGAAGGATTTAAGTTGCTTGAAGTATATACAATTCTTGATCTTGAAGTACCACTTCCTCAGTGCAATTTGTGCACAAATGTATCTTGCTATAACTATATGCATGATAATATGATTGCAAGAGTTTTCACCTCTATGTGAAGATATTGAACTGACGATTCCAACAAGATCATATGAAGACAATTCATCTCTATCAAGAATGATGATTTCAAGGTGCAATATATTCATTCAAGTTAATATAGCTGATTTGTTCATCAAATCTCTACCAAAGATCTTTTGAAGATGGTGCACAAGATTGGAATGCAAATGCTCAAGGATGTGAATTGATGCTCTCATCAGGGGGAGTTAATACGCGTTGTACTCTTTTTCCCTTACAAGGTTTTGTCCCACTGGATTTTCCTTGCAAGGTTTTTAACGAAGCAACCAAAAGGCGTATTGTTAGATATGTGTACTCTTTTTCCTTCTCTAGAATTTTTTTCCCATTGGGTTTTATTTTAGTTCAGGTTTTAACGAGACACATTATCTGTTAGTAGACATTCAAGGGGGAGTGTTATAAATAGAATTGTATTTATGGTGAATGTCTATATTTAGAGAGATTCTAGGGTTCATTGCTTGGTGGCTAAGTCACCCTCTCCCTATAAATAGAGGGTTCTATTCCATTGTAATTCACTCCAAATCAATAAGAATCCTCTCTCTCTACTTTTCTCTGCAATAGTGTTCTTTTTTTATTATTTTATAACAAGCATAGAAATTTTTGTGATATCTCCATCACTCCATCTCGAACTAGCAAACAGTCTACTGCAATGGAAATGCATTGTGTCCAAATTCTAGACACATATACTAATGAGGGAATTAGACCTTAAAAGAAAGAAGGGGGTGCCCTTAAAACAAAAAAGAATACCCACAATTGGAGATGAGAAATCAAACCAAAATACTTTGTGAGCCATTTGGAGAAGGCACTACGAAAAACATCATATTCACTCTTGTTCCATAGTAGTTACTCAAAAGTAATTACCTCCTGCCAGAGATATCCATAAGCCTCATGGCAACAGCTATTGAAGGGAGTATTAAGAAATTTGTGATTGCACTTATCAGCAGAGATGCAGAAGCAGAACTGATGCCAAGGTTTGATAAAAGAACTCCTACACCTGCTTGCTCAAGTATTTGAGGAGTGTAGTACATAACTCCATTAATTCCTGAGAACTGCATGAACAGGTGTTAGAAAGGGAAGCAGAAAGTCTTTGATACAGTGAAAACCAAGCTGACTCTAGCATTCCTATGCAAGGATGCTGAATCAAGACAAAGTGAAATAGAAAAATCACTAAGATATCAAAGTAGGAATATCTTTACAATAGTGCCGTTTCTGTATTTAATAGAAGGAGGTTATGACCGCCCAGGCTAAAAGAAATATTCAAATCCGAGGCCGTAAAGGACAACTGTATAGCAGTACCAGCAGGACTAGTAAATACTTCAAATATCAGCAACCAGCATGAAGCATGAGGCATACTCCCTCTCTCGAGAAAATGAATACACCATGCCTGCCTAAAGATTCTTCTTCAATTCTTTATTAAAAAAAAAGGAAAAGAAATAGGCTTGTCTTGTTCAGTTAATTGAATAAGTAAACTACTGTAACCAACGAATCGAGAGAGGGCATACTCCCTCTCTCGAGAAAATGAATACACCATGCCTGCCTAAAGTTATTTCTTCAATTCTTTATTAAAAAAAAAAAGGAAAAGAAATAGGCTTGTCTTGTTCAGTTAATTGAATAAGTAAACTACTGTAACCAACGAATCACTGCTAGTATCATATTTAGAATGCTACCTTACAGAAACTGACTCATTAAACATCATTTTGTATTGACTGAAGTCTCACCAATATCCATCTCTGTGAATGGTTAGCATGAATCAGCCTAATAGTTACCAAGTTCTCGTATTCTTTTGTTGCTCACAATCTATAAAAAAATGCTCAAGATAAATCGTGGCCAATCACAACATATCCACGTCATCCTTTGATCCAGATTCAATTCAAGATGAAGAGTCTAACCCCTTAGGATTCTGCAGAGAAATTTTCTCCAATCCTGACCTATCAATGGATATTTTGATTAAAGGCAGGAATACAGCCCTAATGACAAGGTCTGGAAAGAATTTGTGTACTACATCTTTTGAAGAAATGAATATGCTTCTAGTTAACTCTTAGCTGCATAAGGTCTCCAGAATCACTGTTAAAATAGCAACTGCACCAGATAGACACTCAAAAAGTTTCTACAATAAAGCAAGAAAGCTACTGATCTCAAGTCCAGATTTAAGGAGGGAACATAACCAACCTGCAATAGAGACAGACTGACCTTGGGAATGTACGGAAGAAAGACAGTAGTTACACTATATTCTAGTAATATTAGTGATTACCTGCTGAAGTAGTTGGATCCCCACACCAACAATCAATGCATGCTTGACACCTGGTTCAAATAAATCGCTCCAACTAGGCCATTTTCCAGATGTTTCAGACGGATGAATCATAGCTGGTCCAACATGATGTTGATCCATCAGATCTTTCGAATATAAAGCTGGTTGACTCACCAAAGCAGCAGCACGAACAAATTCACCACCACTAGGCATATCACCCCCAGGAAGAGAAACTAAAGATCCCCTTCGAGTTCCATGAGTTCCACCCTCATGCAAATAGATTCTTTTAAAACCTCCCTCCTTCTTTTCATCATCGCCTTCTCTCTCTGTCCATTTCCATGCAAGCTGCCATCCACCACCAATGCCAGCACTGCCAACTGGTTCACCATCATTACCCTACACCATGCTAAAAAAACTTCCACGAGATGGAGGCGGAACCATGTCATTTTCCATGCTTGTTGCCTGACGAGATATCAGTGGGCTCTGCAAATTGTCATCAGATTCTTCAGCTGCAGCCTCAGATGCATAATCATCGCCCTCTCTGGGAAGGCTTTCTTCATCCCACTCTTCATTTTTTGTTTGATCTCCAGCAACACTAAACATGCTGCCGAGATGCGGAAAGAGCATGCTTCCCTTGCTTCCCACATCCGGAAGCTTTTCATGAACGCTGCCAAATAGAGTGACAACAGGGTCCATGAGGGGCACATTAGGTGCAAATGTGCTTCCTTGGCGAGATGCAACACCAACTACGCTTTGCCCAGTGACAGGCCGTGCAACCAAAGAGTGTCCATGTTCAGGCCCATATAACCTAATATGATCTTTTTGAACACTTGGTTCCTGGTCTTCCGCAAGTTCATTTTCTGGACCAATAATGTACTCCTCCACTGATGTTTCACCACCAACTCCAAGACCCTCAACTAGCAAAGCCATTTCTCCTGTAAATAGAAGCTGCATCAGTATTAACTTTGCCAGTTTCATCAGGAAACCTAAGATCACTGATAAACTAAAGGAAGCCGAGCAGCACTACAGCCAAAGGCACAAGCATGATAAGTTCACAGATACTTTCGGTACACAAAGCAAGATATCAGATTCATTTTACAAAAGCAGGGTAATCTCTACAGAACCAAGCTAGTACAATCACCAAAGTTAACTCTTCTGGCTATATACCCAAGTAAATATTGGACAAAGTGAAACAGTATAGTCCACATGCTTGGCCCATGTAAAAGAATCGGGCCAGCATGTGCGGGGTCCAGTTAAAGACATATTAATAATTAAGTAGATGAATGCATATCTTGTCTAGCTTAAACTTTTAAATGATGTGGTCATGCAATTTAACAACTGTTAACATTAATAAAATCAAAATTACTCCCTCAGTCCCAAATTAGTTGTCTTGTTTTGCTTCTGGAGAGTCAATTTGATTAATCTTCGAAGCTGAATTGGATTAGATCAACTCAATATTCTAAAACTAAAATTTAGATATTGAAGAACGATACGAAAAGTACAACAACTTGCAATTTTGTCATGTCAATATGATGAAAAAACACATTTTATGGTGAGTTAATTGGATGCCTTCCTGTTAACCTTCTAAGTACTGTAATGGGAAGTTAATGCAACTACTTAAATACTAGGATCCTTAGAAGCTATAGAAAGCAGTGTTTGAATACTGTTTTCTTGCATTTCTTTGATGTTCCAACCTCAAAATTTGCATCTTGATCTTTATGATTTGAACTCATCTCCTTGTACACCTTATTTTGCTTGCAGGTTTAGTTTCTCAACTATATTTGGAGCCCCGAGTAAGTATCTGGTTTCTCCTACTTTCACAAAAGTCAAGATAATAACTGTATTTATTTGAATTTGTAGTGTTAAACTTTGGCATAATGGTTCAATTCTGAAAACCTTTCAGGAGAAAACACAGTGAGCACATTGGGACGAATTGTACTGCTTATATGGCTATTCGTAATCTTGATAATTACGTCGAGCTATACAGCAAGCTTGACATCGTTTCTAACAGTTCAACAGCTCGCATCATCTATCCAAGGAATTGAATCCTTGGTAACAAGCAATGATGCAATTGGGTACCAAGTAGGCTCTTTTGCTGAGAACTACTTATTTGAAGAAGTCAACATTGCAAAGTCTAGGCTTGTTCCTCTTGGATCACCAGAAGAATATGCTGATGCCCTTGAACAAGGAAGAGTTGCTGCTGTGGTCGATGAACGTCCATATGTGGATCAGTTTTTATCAAATTACTGCGGGTTCCAAAAAGTTGTCCCAGAGTTTACCAAAAGTGGATGGGGATTCGTAAGTATTTCCTTACTGATATATTATACTCCTACTAACGCTTATAGCGAAGTAATAAAAGGACATGAGTGGCAAAATGACTAAGAGCTAGTCATGTAACATAACCTGAGAGCTTAATCCAATTAATTTTATAGGCATTTCCGAGAGACTCACCCTTAGCTATTGACATGTCAACTGCAATCTTGCAATTATCTGAAAATGGAGAGCTAGAGAAGATTCACAAGAAGCGGTTAAACAGAAAAGTTTGTGGAGGGCAGAGCTCTGAAGCAGATTCAGAACAGCTTCAGTTGAAGAGCTTTTGGGGTCTGTTCCTCATTTGAGGAGTTACTTGCTGTTTTGCTCTGCTTGTATATTTCTGCTTCATGTTGCGGCAGTTCAAACGACATTTTCCTGAATTAACACAGCGTTCTACTTCTACTAGAACTAGAATATCACATTCAATACGGCTTAGGAAGTTCTTGTCTTTTGTGGATGAGAAGGCAGAGATATCTGCAAATAGGTTGAAAAGAAAGCGGATGGAAATGGAAAACCTTTCCACTAGCTAACGCCATTGCTTCTTGAAATGATGAACAATTTCCAAAAGAGAGACTGCGAAACGTTCTCCTTTGATTCTTGTACATCTTATCATGTAACGATGGAATGTTGAGAACATCTAGTGTTCGAATAATTAACCCAATAACTTTGTAATTTAATATAATAAGATGTTAAGTTTTCAGATATTGATGTACAGCTCCACAAATATGGAATAAGATGTTATGTTTTGGGCTATTGATGTGATGAATGTGTTGAATGGTGTTACCCAAGAGAGATTTAGAGAATGTAATATCGTTTATGGGCAAAAGTACAGGATTGCCGAAAGGCTAACTGAATCTTAAGCCGCTTCATCATGTTAGTTGAGCTCATTTTGGTCTGCTTTAACAGTTTATACCTTGTGATATCGACTTCCTCATCTCTTTCTCACAACAAGCCCAATCAGCATTTCAGCTCTAGGTACCTTGGGTTGGGGCAAATTTTGAAGAGATGATTAAATAACTAACTTATTTAAAATGCTTCTTATTTTCAAATATTTGGTTTGATCAAAGATTAATCCTAATAAATCGTGAGTAGCGAGTTTTTGGGTAAGAACCCTCTTTCCTTCAGACTCTTTTACAGGCGTTGGCTCTCACTCTAACCAGTAACCACACACTTTTCTCTACAATGGCTATCTTGTGTCAGTCTCCCCTCAATCTCAATCTCAACCTCATCACCTCCTCACGCAATCCCAATCCTAATCCCTCCTTTAGACTCAATCTCTTTGCTCACTCTCGCACCCTCGTCACTGAGCCGCCGCCGGTTTTCACTTGCGTCAAGTCATTTGCTCCCGCCACCGTCGCCAATCTTGGCCCCGGTTTCGACTTCCTTGGCTGCGCTGTCGACGGCATCGGCAACTACGTCACTCTCCGCGTCGACCCCGATGTTCACCCTGGCGAGGTTTCTATTTCTGACATCTCCGGCGCCGGCAAGAAGCTCAACAAAAACCCCCTCTGGAATTTTGCCGGTATCGCCGCCATCTCCGTCATGAAGATGCACCAAAAAACAAGAATTGGGTCTCCGATGCTCCATCAATCCCCTTATCTTTTGTTGAATAAAGCTCGGATATTTCCAAACTTATACATCCCTATTTCTATTTTAGACATCTCAAAATGTTTTAATGTAATTCAACTGCCAGACAGCTATCAAGCTTCAACATTCAAATTTAATGAACAATTTCAAATTTAATATGCATGTTAAATAAACAACTTAGACTCTATGTCCAATCAAATTTATACGAGATGGACAGGAAAACTTTTATGATTCGATATATAATGCAATGCAAAGTACATGAGAAACTCGTAAGCTGAACATGCCACACTGCTAGAAAACTATGTACAAGGAAATGCAAATGAATCTGAAAAGAATGTTATCACTATATCTATACTTCTCCAATAGTCCGCTAAGAACCATCCAAGTGCAATTCTCTACTTTGTAGAGTTAAACAATTAACAAAAACTGTTCGATTATTGATTGTTTTGTAGGAAATGGATGGCAGCTGAATTTAAGAAGACATTTCAACAACTGTAGAATCAATGGAATCAGCCAGTTACTAAATTCATTGGAATCTTATACTTTGGATGATAGTAAGAGAGATTCCCTAAGATGCAAGGCCGAGAAGAATGGAATCTTTTCTGTCAAGAGCTGTTACAGCATGCTGCAGGAAAAGAGTGATAATTGGGAAGTGGAGTGGCCATGGAAGATGCTTTGGTCATTGAGCAACAGCAGAAGCTAATGCGTTGTCAAAAGTATATATCACCTGGACCTGATTAATGACTTTTTGAAAGTGACAGCAAGACAGGAATCAACATCCAAACTACAAGCAAAAAAGTACCATATTCTCCCATATTCTCTCATAATAAAGTATTCAATTTTCTACTCAGTTTGCAACTAGTGTCAACAGTAAATGTCGAAATCGAGACTTGTACTTCAAGATAATGTCTATCCCAGGCTCCTATCATTTTTACTGGAGATGCTAAGCTTGACCGAATCATTAGCGGGGAGCATGATTTAATCTCAAGACTTTTAGATCAAAATGCCCAGGACATAAGACCACTAAAATCCTATCATTCTTTGATTTCCATTTTCCAGATGAAATAGTTCGAAATTATAAGCTCTTACCCTTTTCAAAAGAATCCTGCACTCCATAGACCCTCAACTTGAAGCCAAATATATCATCCATTCAAAGGACAGTTCACCACTCTAAGTTATTCTAATCATTACCAATTGCAGGTCCTCATGAGACACCACCAAAACATAGAACATATTAACCAACAAACTCCATCACAGAGAAAAACAAAAGGTGCTTCTGGTCCTCCTTCCCCAAAAGAACCTAGAAAGTATGGAAATTGAACAATCATATACTCCCTCCGTTTCAATTTATGTGAACTCATTTGACTGGGCACGGAGTTTAAGAAAAGAGAGAACACTTTTGAACTTGTGATGTAAAATGAAGCACATATATTTTATGTGGCCATAAATCATTGCATAAAGGTAAATTGTTTCCAAATAGGGAAAGAGGTCATTCTTTTTGGCACGGACTAAAAAGGAAATAGGTTCACATAAATTGAAACGGAGGGAGTAGCAATTATAACTATATGTATCAGAAAAAATTACTTAGGTTCTTATGTAGAAGAGAGTTTAGAACTACTCTTATCTAGTTTCTTACATTTGATTGTTGCCACGCATATCTAGTTATCCTTTTGAATGTTAAACTTTTGGCCTACAGTGATAGTGACAAACAAGCAATAGTTTGGATCTTGTACTTGTTTACTTCATCAGTGCTTAGTGGAGATGATTGGTTGGCAACAGCTAGATAATTGTAATTGTGGCAATGCCAAGATGTGGGCAAAAAGTATCCGACAGAGATAAACTAAATAAAGTGGAAGGTTTTAGGTGATGAGGCTCCCTGTCCAAAAATTAGGAAACGAGCCAGACTTTGAGGTGCATGAAAACCTAAATTGATTTCTCTTCTTGAAAGACTAAAAATAAAACTACTTCAGAATGTGTATTGATTAAAAATATTTTTCATGTTTTATTCTTTACATGTAACAAAGTCATTATAAATCTAGTGATTTTCTCTAAAAGAGTACATTCTTTTGATAAGTCTAAACTAACCTATGTAATTTTTTTCATAATGTGGTTTAAAAACCACACAAGAATGTATTCTATAAGGAGTTGCACAGTAGTTTTTCCCCAGCCAAAGTTCCTGGCCTTCGACCAATGAGTGTGATCCCATGTCACAGCAAATCCATGCAGACATTTCATACAAACGGTATGATCCCATGTCACAGCAAATCCATGCAGACAATTCATATAAACGGTATTTACATCACTCCATGCTCCAATATACTAAAAACAAGAGCTGTAGTCGCAAATCTCCCTCTATTCCACTTTATATGACATTCTTCCTATTATGAACGTTCCAAGAATTTTAACACCATTCAATTTCTCTAAAACGTTCACTATTCTACTGTTGCTTTAGCATTTTCTTCCACTCTCACTAAATAAGTCGAACATCTTTGAACTCGGTGATTATAGTGATAACCCAAATACCATCAGATGGAGTAACTTCTACAATTTCATATATAATGCAAAGTTCTTGAGGAAGTCCTAAACCTAACATGCCCCATGCTAGAAAATAAGACCACAAAAATATACAAAATGTATCGAACAGAATGTTGATCACCATACCTATACCTTCTTAAATCATGCACTGTTCGAGTTCTAATACTGCAGTTTAAAATATTCCTCGGAAGAAGAAAGAGTCGGAACCTCTTACTACTCATTTTTTAGAGAGTGAAAGCAAACTAATCATTGGTCCCAATGCCATAGAAACTTGCAATGACATCAAAAAGAAATGAAAATTGTGGATATCAGTTGCAGGGTAAAATCCCTTAAGTATGATTATACTTCAGTAACAAAATGATACAATCAATAAACCAAAATCTAACACCCACGCCAAAATGTAGTGTCAAGATCTATTGCCAGGGATATAGCACATTGACAGATTATTCACAAGTATACCAACCTTGAAAACCATATTGACCTTCAGTCTGTTGTGAACAAGACTGCAAGTGATTCTGACATCCATTACAATGCATAAGGCGACGATGCTCTAGAAGCCATATTAGCAACTTGAGCCTGCATCTGAGCAGCCCTAACCTTTGATGCAGTGGCGCGATGAAAGAATTGCTCGCGTGACAACGACCTAACATTCCTCAAGTACTGATCAAAAGGTATTGTCCCGTCCTGATAGCTTTGTCCAACGAATAAATCACATCCTCAATCGCCAAATCAGATGCCGTGCAATCCAGCATCTGCTTGGAAAGATGATCGCACGGCTCAAACGTTGTATCCACATCCACATTCCCTAAATTTGTCATTTTCGCCTCGTTTTCTCTCAGCCATCCCTCTAATACATCACTATTCATCAGAACCATCTGTAATTGCTGCTCTAAACCCTCCTTCTCGTCCTGCATTTCCTTTAAACCTTCATTCAATCGCTCCTCACGCTGCCTCAACACTCCTTGAGCATTAAACAACCCCTCCATATCAGCCTCCCGTGCTTCCCTCAACCCTAATATATCACTATGCAGCTTAACAACAAGCTTATCTATGGCATTCCTCTTATAAACCTCTGATGGATCGTCCATTATCCTCCCTGTACTACCACTCCCATAAGGTGATTGTGGAAATGCCCGAGGAGGTATCGCAGGCCGAATTACACCACCCGGCCCAACCGGCGAATTATTATTCGAAAAACTCGTACTGGGCGGAGGATGAGGGCTCGGGCTCGGGCTAGGGTTAGGGTTTGGACGACGCTGGGCATAAAGCGGAGGATCACGGCCAAAGAAATGACTCAAATTACGAGCCAATTCGAGATTAGAGCTAGGGTAAATCCAATTCTGCAAATAAGGGATCGACACAACCCCGGACGGGTTCACAAACTGATGCGGGCGCTTGATGATCATGTCGCGCGTGGGATTCACGAACACCAAAGGCGAGTGACGAGGGTAAGATTCCATAAGCCAAATAATAACGGGGATGTTGTACGTGACGTCTTGAGAAACCATCGGGACGGTGCCGTCGGCTTGTAAGAGATTAACGGTGCGGCCGTCGTTGTGAGTGAAAGTAGCGGTTTTAGGCTGAAGTGAAGGGTAAGTTTCGATGAGCGACAACAGGTGCTGCCGGATTAGCCATTTGACGTCTTCGGTGTACGGAAGTGCGGAAGGGCCACGCTGTGAGAGAACGCTACTGAGGAATTGTTGAGTGTATTGGGCGGAATTCGGTGGCGGCATCATCGGAGATCGAGGGTTTTGAGGTGAAAAGTGGATCTGTTGAGGGATTTAAGAGAGAAGAGAAGAAGAGAAAAGGTTGCTTCGAGAGACAGAGGTGTTTGGCTAAGCTTATAAGTTAGGTCAAATTGGCACTTTTTGGCTTATCTACGCGTTTGGTAAAATTAACACTCTGTTTGGATCATTGTTCCCTATCGTTTTATAATGTATTGTATTGTATCGTATCGTATCGTATTGTACCGTATTGTTTTATGAATATAATGTTTGAATAGATTGTATCGTTTGTGATTATTAAATAATATTTTGTTAGTTGGTTTGACTGTATCGTACTGTACTGTAACTGATAAGTTTACTAAAATACCTTCAATTGTTTAAGTATTAAATTTATCAAAAATTATGCATAAAAATAATTTTAAAAAACAAAACAGAAGAAGGCAAAACATAAGAAAGCAAAACAAAGGAGCGAGACAGAAAAAGACAAAACAAAGGAGCACAACTAATTATATTTGAGTTACAAGCAAATTAGGAGAAAAAATAAAAGCAGAAGGCAGCAAAACACCTTTAACATTGGTCTGGAAAAAAAAAGTAGGTTATAATTTGGAGATTTGGAGTTAAAATAAAAAAAAGATAAAGGGTAAAATAGAATTGTGAAGTAATAAGTTAGGGCATAATTGGAAAGAAAAATAGGAAACAACCCCACCACACCAAATTGGTTGTTTTAAAAAAGGAGACATTTCATTGTTTCGGAACAATGGATTTAACAATACAATACAACCAATTTTAAAGAAACAATCAAAACAAACATTGTTTTGAGATAACAATACAGTACGATACAACAAGTAACAACCATCCAAACAAGCTGTAAAAGTGCTTATAAGCCAAAAATAAGTCAAAAGACATAAGTTGGAGCCCGTTTGGCTTAGCTGATTTAGAGTAGCTGATAAGCATTAAGTGCTGAAAAGCACTTTTAAGTGTTGAAACTGATTTAAAAAATAAGCAGTTACGTGTTTGGATAAAAGTGCTGAAATTAATAATACGCAGCTGAAGAACTGGGTATACGAAGGGTTTGATTTTAAAAAGAAGTATTTTAGGAATAGAATAGTAAATATTTTGGTCAAACGTAAAGTGCTTATAAGCTGAAATTTGATAAGTTGGGGGAGACCAACTTATGGCTTTTGACTTATTTTTAGCTTATAAGCACTTTAGGTTTGACNCTTTTGGCTTATTTTTAGCTTATAAGCACTTAACTTATAAGCACTTTTAATTTTACCAAACGCGTAGATAAGCCAAAAAGTGCTTATAAGCCAGTTGACCAGCTTATAAGCTTAGCCAAACACCCTCTTGGTCTCCCCCAACTTATCAAATTTCAGCTTATAAGCACTTTAGGTTTGACCAAATATTTACTATTCTATCCCTAAAATACTTCTTTTTAAAACAAAACTCTTCGTATACTCAGTTCTTCAACTGCTTATTATCAATTTCAGCACTTTTATCCAAACACGTAACTGCTTATTTTTTAAATCAGCTTCAGTACTTTAAAGTGCTTTTCAGCACCTAATGCTTATCAGCTACTCTAAATCAGCTAGCCCAAACGGGCTCATAATGTACCGCGTACGGCGCGTCGAAGGAGTTTTGAGGGAATTACTGGGAAATTTAACGGAGGAGTAAGGGGGAGGAGAAACGAAGAGGTGACATATATGTAGTTGATTCCCTATTAAGAAATGGTCAATACACTACTATCTTTGGTTGTCATGCAAAATAATACTATATTCAACATATATGTCTTTCGTACAACTGGTTTGAGCTGTAGAATCAGCTAGTGATGATTGCATCAAAGTAGGTTGCCTGCATCGCATTTTTGAGGTGCGACCATTCCTCAGACCCTACATAAATGCAGAATGCTTCGTGCACTGGGCATGTCTTTCATACACCTATTTATCACCAGGGGCGGATCTAGTGTATGATATATGGGTTCCGGGGAACCCAGTAACTTTTGCGTAGACCCTGTATTTTTATTAAAACTTTTATTAAATATCTATAAATATCTATTTGTGAACCCAGTTATTATTGTATATTAATTTGAGTTTGCGACAGGAACCATAAGCTTAAAATCCTGGATCCGCCTCTGTTTATCACTATATATAATTATATCTTATATAGTTTCACTTTAATGTTAACTCTTCTAGATGTGCAGCACTAAAAAGAGTACATGAAGTGCAAGTTTAGTAGTGTAACTCATGAGGATGAGGGAGAGGTGAGGCAGAATTCTCAAGTCATCCCCAAGCAGGGTAGTTTCAAGTACTTTGGGTCAGTAATCCAAGGTGACAGGGAGATTGATGAGGATATCACACATTGTATTGGAGTGCGATGGATGAAGTGAACGCTTGCTTTCGGTGTCTTGTGTAATAAGAAGGTGCCACCAAGACTTAAAGGTAAATTTTACATAGTGATGATTAGACCGACTATGTTGTATGAGGTGTAATATTGGCCAGTTAAGAACTCCCGTGTCCAGAAGTTGAAGGTAGCGGAAACGAGAATGTTGAGATGGGTAAGTTGGTATACTTGGAAAGACATGATCAAGAATGAGGTTATTTCAGATAAGGTGGGAGTGGCTCCCGCAGAGAAAAACTTGGGTAAGTGTGGGTGAGATGGTAAAGGCATGTGAGGAGGAGATGCCTGAAGGCACTGCACACGAGGGGTTTAGGGAAGAGTAGAGGGAGGGCTAAGAAGTATTTGGGTGAGGTGATTAGGCATGATATGACACTTCTGCAACTCAGTGAGGACATGACCCTTGACAGGAAGTTGTGGAGGTTGAAGATTAAGATAGAAGATCAGTAGGTAGTATAGCGTACTTCCTTTCTTTCCGATAGCTTTAGCATGACGCTTGTTGTGGCCTACTTTTTGCATATTATTACATGTTGATTACTGTGGTTACCTAAGCCGAGGGTCTTTCGGAAACAGTCTCTCTACATGCTCAAAGTAGGGGTAATATTTGTGTACACCCTACCCTCCCCAAATCCCATTTATGAGAATATACTAGGTATGTTGTTGTTGTTGTTATTATTAAGGTTAAATTCAAATATTTACCCCATTTTTTTCTGGTTTTAGTCAAACAAATTTAACCCAAAATACTTATCATTCTAGGAAAACAAAAAATAATTAATTATTTTTTTCAACTCAATCTTACCATTCCATAAAGAAATATTATCATTAATAGATAGGTGTAATTTAATCAACTACTCTTTAGAATTTAATGGTAGTAAATGATTTTTGTAATAAATGCTTCAAACCATAAACGATAAACAAGAAGGGGCCAGGGAAGTAACCATTCTGGCCAAGAAAAAAGAGAATTAATGTTAAATGTTAACGAAAATACAACTAGTATTGTTGTTTTACTTTCAAATAATTAGCATAAACATGAGTATCATTTCATATTCCAGGACCAATTTGGCCCCTCTCCTCTTGAGTGTTTATCGATAAACGCAAGGTCTGGACATGTAGATGAATACTTTTACACCTTATTGTTGGACATATTTAATGTACTCTATTCAATGAAATAATTCTTATTAGTAATTCATATAAAGTTACATCCGACTATGCAAAAGTTGCAATTAGATTTAGTGACGCTAATCAAACTAAACTTCTTATGAAGTTCATTCACAAAGTTCATATCCTAAGCAAATAATTAAACAAAATAATAAGAGCTAAGGCTTCTTCCTATATCTAATCAAGGATATCTTAGATAGCTAGAGCTACCCTCAAAATGAGACAAAGAAAGAAGAAAACTATGATATAAATATTGCATTTGATTGGGAGAGGGAACTCAAACTAAGGGTGTCTAACGGGTGGGCCCAGGGGCGAAGCTACTTTGGTTGAAGGGTGGTCTCGCCGAAAAATTATACTACATATAAGGTAAAATATCACTTGTAATTGATTAAAAACAGACTTTGAATACCCTTGCATAGCCCACTGGCTTATTGAATTTCCTGGCTTCGCCACTGGGTGGGCCGGGCCGGACTGGATAGGAAAAATTAGTAACCGTACGGGTTGGGGTCCGGGCCGGTTACGGGTTGGGGCTTACCGAATTTAACGGGTTCGGTACAAGGGGCCGGCCCGGGCAGGGCCGGGTTAGTGTAATTTTTAATTTAAGGTTCACTTAAAAAGTACAAGGAACTAGTAGACTAACTAAAATGTCAGCTTTAAAGCACATGATCTGCAAATCGGCCAACAGCAAGAAATATTTTATTAATCACTTTTTTTTTGACGAAGTAAGTTAATATCAATGCCAGGAAGATGCAAAATTACAAAAAGAGTTAAACATGTGAGCTCCAGTACAAGAGTGTCATATTTTATCAATCACTAATTAACATGAATCTTTGGACATTTAGGCAGAACATATTGAATGTATTGATTGGTTAATGCTAAGGGCAGCGACATGATGAATCATGTTAAATGATTAGTACTAGTAAAAGTGTATAGGTAATACCAAAAGGTGCAAGGATAACTACACTAGGTTGCAATCAGATCATTTTCATGGCCAAAATTTTAGGTTTCCAGAAAACATCTATTACAAGTGTGATTAGTAGGCGGTGGCAGAAAGAAGCCACAACTCTCAGTTACATGTCAAGTAAATGACTGCAAAAGAAAGGTAAATTATCTGAGAACTCATTGCTTTCTTGACTCATATTTGCACTGGTGTATGAAATGGCGTAGATTTGCAGCATGAAACATAAAGATGTCGTGTCTACCCCTTCCTCTGCCCATTCTGCATTAATTATACAAGTAAGACATCAAACAAGTTTAAGGAATAATAGTTCCTTACTTTGACACAAAAGTTGGTTGTTAATACTGTATGAAAAATTTATCGTCGCCCTCTTCCTCTGCCCATTCCACGACCTCTTCCTCTACCTCTGCCTCGGGAACCCGAACCCCGAAAACCTGATCTCTCAGGCTTCAGTTTCAAGGACTGGATCCCTCTTCTCCTTTCAGTTCGTGCTCCCTTGTCTTCTTCATCTTCCACATACTTTGCTGAGCTTCTGGAAATAAAGGAAACTTCTCTTGAACCTCCAGGTCCCACCTTGATATTGTTCATCCCATGAGAAGTCCGGTCATCTGACAAGGCTGCAACCCGTTCACCTAGTGGAAGAGCATCCTCCTTCGCAAGTGAAACATCATTCCAGAATGCTTCTGCATGCCTCTCATCCTTGACTTCATACATTCTGAAATTTTAAAGGATAGTGAGACATACAGCTATTTTAATTTTTCTAAAGCAGCAATAAAAGGTTTCAGGATATGTTCTGGTCTCATAAGAAAGTTTATTCCACATTACTGTTGCAATCCCCAAAAGAAAAAGGTACACTCAATCCACAAAATTTGTATAAACCCATGCAACTTGTCTACGTAAGAAACATTAGAGGTTAAACATGCCCATTATCAGGAGTCAACCAACTGCTATTCCTTGAACTTCACTTCCAGCATGGTGCATAACAACTTGTAGTCTAAATGTGGCATGAATTAAGAGGGCATTCATTGACTTCTTACCTTGGAACTTTGGACTTTTTTCTAGAATTTTTTTCATTTTCTTGTTCATCTTCTGATGATTGTGTTGCTGCAGACACATCAGAATCACTAGGTTCCTCACCATCCATCACAGGCTCAAAATGTTCCTCCACTAAAGACGGTTGCTTTGTGGAAGGCATAGGGTGCAGTGCCCGATACTCATGAGAAAATTCATCAATTTCAAAGTCCTGTTGAAAAACCAAAATACATCAAAAAAAACTTAAGGGTATTGGGGATCTGTTTAAAGAATGCATTTTAACTAGTAGAGGAGTATGCAATATAAAAGCAATTGCTTAAAAATATATTTATCAGGGACAACATCTAAAAAGTACTAAGCACACTTTTCTTGTTGAGAATGCTTGACCAGCTTTCTAAGAAAGTTCCAATTCAAGCACATGTAATTAATTTTTTGCCAACTTAATCTGATGATATTCTGGACTGGTTCTTCAACACTAGGAAGTGCATAAGATTCACAGTAAAGACTTTGTATACCTTATTAGTAAACATCCCACTAAAACGTTCATCTTTCAGAATGTCAGTGGTCAGTCCTTTCTTCTTCTTTGATATCTTCTTCGCATCAACGCCATCAACATCCTCCATATTCTCAGCCTCTTCATTCTCAAGAAGTTCTTTAGCCAGAGTGCGATTAATTTTGGGAAGCTTCTTCTTAATCTGCAGAGGAATGCCAAAATGTAATACAGGTATTCTGAAAAGGTAGAAACTCCCTTCAAATGACAGATACATGCAGAGGTCTAGTTAAGTAAGAAACCTGTTTCCCCCCTTTTCATTCAGTTTGAGAAGCACACAACTTTGATTGCAGTGAAACAGTAAAAGTAGATTTCACCACAAGAACCATGAATAGAAATGACTAATGATAATAGTAGGGCCTTATTGAGAAACATGTAACAGCCGTCTGATTTGAATCTTTAATAATATGAAGCACAAAGGATAATATTTCCAATCTTCTGCTAGCACAAAATACAAGAGTGAAACCCAAAATTCTCCAGCATCCGGTAATTACTTGATGCCAGACAATTGGCATAAAAATTATCATAGCAACTTCAAAAGGCCTAACTAGAGCACAAGAAAATCCACAGCTTCTTTCTCATGGGCTCGTGGTCATCTAGTGAAAGTCTATATTTTTCTCGGCGATGTTTCCTTTATCAAGAAGTGGTCCATCTTTTAGTTGAATTTAGGTGATGCAAACTTTATTTAAGCTGACCTCTCCAGGATTTTAAGTCAATGAGTGCAGGGCACCAATACACCCATAACTTTTTTAACTATTTTTTCAACAACTGTGGAGTATGGGCCAGCTTGTGTGCACATCAACTAATTCCACGGGATACCTACTACCTCCACCACACAGGTACTGGGTAACTCTGTCCACCAAGGCTAGGACAAATGGGAAGAAACACCTAGTGTTTTGTCTCCAGTGGAATTTGAACCTGAGACCCATGATTCTTAACCCACTTCATAGACCACTACGCCACACCCTTGGGTGCTATTAGGTGCAAATTATACTATTTTTTAGAAGTTTTCCAGCTATAAGCTTAAGGCAATGGCCCCTCGCACCAGCTGCGAAACCTACATCTACTCGTGAGTAAACCATATCATTTCAGCTCAAAACGAGCTGAACAATCAACCACACTTGAAAAAGGAGAATTTTCAGTCTACAATATACCCTAAAGGATCGAAAAAAGCGCAAGCATCAGAATCCTCCAAATTCAAGGTTTTCTTTGTATTCCCTTCCATTTTTCAATTTGGGGGATTGGGACGCTCAGAATAAGAGCAAGTGGAAGAAGAGGTCAGCGAAAAACATACTAAGCCAAGGCCTCCAAAGTTTTTGCCTTTCTTTTGTTGACCAAAATTAGCTGTTTCAGCTTCCACACTCGGGGATAACGGCCCGCCATCTACCATTTTCCATACCGGATTTGGTTCACAGTCAAGTTTCGAACTTGTGACGTGTGCCTAACCTTTTTTTCCTTTTAAAAGCCAATGCTGCTACAAGGCTATTTCAAAAGTCTCTTCATGATGGACTCACTGATTAATCACTCCCTCCCATAAGAAGTATGGCCCGCAACATAAAAAATTGATTTGCAAAGAATATCAAACAGGTTAAAGATGCAATGTGGCTAGACCACCAATATATACACATGTAGGCACACACATGAAGTTTAGCTTTCTATGTTGAATTGCTGGTACAAATAACATGGTTCTTATACATCCATTGTAATCTATTGTTATTACTGAAAAATCTATGAAAGCAAAATACCCAAAGGCCAAATACTAAATCGAAATAAGGGACACGAAAACGTCTTTCGCTTGATGCTAGTGTAAAAGTCTCTGCATAGAAAAAGATAGGAGACATGTGTACGCTTGCAAAAAGCCAATCCCAGACATTATGAAACTAACCGTGATACGACCGGCACGCTCTGCCGCTTGTTTTTCCTGGTTCCGCCGCTCTTTGTAAGCAACATAATCAAATGGATCTGAAAATGCTTGTGCCTGCAAGAGCAAAGCATCAACATGCACATAAGTTTGATCACAAGGCCCATCATTTAAAGTTAGTAGACAAATTTATACTGATTGTCACCTTTTTATACAAACGATAATCGATGAAGTAACCATGCATATAAGCCCTTAGAAGGCTGGTTCCAATCAAATGGGTCAAATTCAATTTTTCCAGATCTTCTTTCGTCAAAAATTTAAAATCATCATAAATAGTTGTCTGGGGTTGCTCCTCAAGCTCTTCCTGCAAATAAATATCAAATCAGAATAACCATTGTCTCTGGCATGACAAGGTAACAAAACAAGGAGCACATCATACCGTAAGGTTTTCAAGGTAAGAACACCACTTGGGCGCAGGCCCCAGTGAAGGAATGAAATACGAAGGTATTTGACTGGAGTCAAGAGCCAACAACATCAATCCACTGTCAGTGAATGCACACAAATCGTTGATTCTCCCACCCGTTGGTTCAATGCTTGTCATGCCTTCTCCCTATAAGAGTTCAATGCCAAATGTGAAACTTAGATTAAAGTTAAGTGTATTTCATCAAAAAGATTAAACTTAAGTGTAGAAACATAAGCAACTCTTGGTGATGTCTTCTCTTGGATTGTTGGCTAAGGAGGCATGCCTCACAGAAAACAATCTCCATAAGAGGGGTTTCAAGCTGTGCAGCAGATGTCCTTTATGTGAAGAACAATCTGAAGATGTTACCCATCTTTTTTTGCATTGCAAGGTTACAAACCAGTTATGGAACATGTTCTTTTCAATATTTGGTATGTCTTGGACCATGCCTAACTCCATTTCAGAAATGCTGAAGTGCTGGACCGGGGAGGGTCTATGCAAGAAAGCTCAAAAAACCTGGAACACTGTTCCTCAAGTTATCTGGTGCTCCGTCTGGCTTGAAAGAAACAGTAGAATTTTTGAAGGCAAAAGAAGAAATTTACAGTGCCTTAAACTTAATTGCATTTTGTTGATCGCTTTTTGGTGCAAACTGGCTTTTGCACCAGATGTAGATGAATTTTAGACGCAATTGCTGATTTTCACAACCTGTAATTACGCCTGTTGCACTGGCTTAGTGCAAATATTTATATAATATATTATTTACCCATCAAAAAAAAACTCTTGCTGATGTCTAATTAGTGTTCTACCGCCTCATACATGAACATTATCGTAAGACTATTGCAGATAATCATAAATATTAACTGTATGATATCCTAACGCGGGTCCAAGAAGGACAAAAACAGAGACACCAACCTTGATTTCATGGTGGCAAACGGTTGTGATTCTATATAGTTCGTGTCTTTGTCACGATGTAAACCTGCTGTTTATCTAAAACAATAACCACCATAATCTCTACTAAACATAGTTTTTTTATTGTGATGATGCCTAAGAGATCTAGCAGTAATTCCTACGTTGTACCTTCCTTTTCTCTATTGCTTCACTATTATCCCAGCACAACAGTCATATTACCAACGTCTTTTCAAGTTACATAGCACTTAAACAATCCCTAGGTCATTTTTTTATTGTTAAAGTTAAACAATCCCTCAATCATTAATCGTCCAAAAATCATATCAACTCAATTCATAGCTTAGATATGAAGAAATATGAGCTCCAAGGACTGCTCCAAACTTCTACTACATGACCAGGGGCGAATCCAGGATTCGAAGAAGATGGGTGCACTATTATAAAGAGGTAAATCTAGAATTTATATTTGATGGATTCAAACTTTAGGTTCCTACCATGAATCCAATACCATTTAGAATTATAGGTTAAAATTAATTTTTTTTCTTATAATTTTAGTGATTTTTAACATATATACATATACTCCATATCAAAAATGTTGAGATCATTGAACCATGCTACATCATCCATTGCTATTAGTTTTAATTATATAAAATTTTGCGATGACAAACAGACAAAGGGAGATCAAGGATTTCAATGTGTTAGATTTGGGAATTTGAATGGATAAACCAAATAAAAAAATAAAAAAACTACTTAATTTAAACACAAGAGGAGACACTAGACATGTCTACAAACTAAGAATTGAACATCTAACTTCACTTGTAAAGGTGCACCCAATAATTATTGAACCATATGATTCTTTGAGCTTGGGTGCACACATGTATATTTAAGCAATTTATAAGAAATATAACATTATTATACATGATATAGAGAGAGAGTAGCATGGGTTCACGTGCATCATGCTCCAACACATAGATACGCCCCCGGCCACATCAAAGGAGGGCCACTTGTCCACAAGAGGAACAAAATAATCAAAAAGAAAAATGTCTTCTCAGAATAAGTAGGACCGTTTAAGGGAAACTTGAAGTTTGACAGATTTTGCAGATTAGAATAACTGATAATCAATAAGCTAAATATATAACAACAAACATTTTAATAAAAAATTTCACTCCTCATCATATCCTCCCCGTTTTCTTTCTTTCCTTGTTCCCTTGCCTTCTAATTCTATTTCTTTTTGAAATCTGTAAGACACCCTTGCACCTGAATATTAACTTCTTACCAGACCCGCCAAAGTACGTCTTGATTACTTTGATGAATCAGTTCATTAATAACTTCACATATAGCAAAGGCAGCAGAAAAAAACAAAGGCCAAAATCAATCATTGAGTACTGCAACTCTATTGTCCAGCATATAAATACAATAAACTGAAATGATCTTGTCTAAACTACAGAATTACTAATATAAACGACAAATATCAACAAAGAGGATCAAAGACTTGCATACCGTCTCAGGGTCCCAAATCCTAACAATGTGGCTGTCAGCAGTGATTAACTTTGTTCGTTCAGTGTTAAGCGTTTTATGCCACTTAATGTTCAGTATCGGGCTCCCATACCTATATAAGTGTCAGAATGCATAAGCAATAGAGAACAAGAATTACTTTACCATTATAAGCTGGCAAAGCAACTTACATATGATCCTTTATCCGCATAGGTTGAGAAGATCGTAAATCATAAATCAGAACCTGCACATTACAAGGTATTGTTAGACATCTTGATCGCATAAGACATAACAATAACTACGCCTCAGTCGTAAACAAGTTAGCTCCAGCTATTCGAACCCTCACTAAACATGTTTCTCCATTTAAAATCATTTCAGCCCAACATTATACACAATAAAAATAAAACTTCACAGAAGCCTCCACAATGTAAATATATGTTTGCTAACAAGACAACTGATTTTTACTCAAAGACAATAATCTATTCTTCAATAACTACTTTCTGAAGCCCTCAAAGTGACAAGAATTTCACCCCCAAGAAAATCTAGCTTCCTTTAGCCAACTCGATTGACGATGACCAAGCAAGACTCTAATTGGAGCGGACTTAATAAAAACATAACTTATTTGTCTTTTTCTATTCTCCGTTTCTACATGAATCAAAAGACAGAACAGAAATTTTAAAAACCTCTCTCTCTTCATTCCCTTCCAGTGGTGTAACAACTATTCAAGTTAATAATTTCTTATACTTCAAGGACACATCAGTAAGCCAACTTTGTGGGGCATCCCGAAGCTAATATTGTGAGACCTCTTTTTGGTAAATTGTTGAGGGCAATGTCTTAAATTTAGGGTGTGTCAGGCATGAAGGAGAAAATGTTTTCCAATACTCCCATGTTTGGTTGGCTTAAATGTCATGGAAAATGATTTCCTAATGAACTCATTTTCCTCCAATTTTTCCCACAAAGAAAAGGAAAAATATTTTCCAAAACTCTCTTTCAACCTTCCTCACCCCTACTGCCATCCCCCAATCACACCCTCGCCACCTGGGTCCCCAGACCTACCACCTTACACCCCGACCACCCTTGATCCACCCCCACCCCTCTCCCACCTCCAAACGCACATCCCGTTACCTCCGCCTCCCTAGAAACCCCTCCACCATCACTAACCCACCATCAGCTCCCCTTCCCCCATCGTCCACCCCTTCCCTCCGTCCCCGCCACCCCTCAACTGCCCAAACCAGGCTTCGCGACACAAAACACAAAGGTCGAGGGCCAGGTGTCAGGTGCGGGGTGGGGGTCAGGGGCAGGGTGTCGAGGGTGGGGTCAAGATTAGGGTCCGGGTTTATAGTGTTTGCCCAAAATATATTAAAATGCTCCTAGGACAATATTTTCTCCTTACTATCCAAATATCAAAAAATTAAGAAATTAACTTGTTTTCCACGAAAATATTTTCTAAAACATTTTCCTTCATACTAAACACACCCTTACTATCATGAGAAAGAACATCTGCAAAAAAATTCACATTGAAGATGCAATGCTTTTAAGCATGATATGTTTTATATATACTCGGTGTAAGGACTTTTAAAATACTCTTTCCTGATTAGTTTCATGTCAATTTTCGAACAACATAGGTTAAAATATATTCTTCATACTGCATTAGCTGCCTGTTCTATAAGTCCTCTCAATTAACATCCAATTTGGTGATGCGGGTGAATTTTCCACCTCTCCTACAATTTATTAATAGTAACTAGAAATTTTAGGTGTACTTTATCTAGTTTCAAGCAAATAAGAAAAAAGACTAAACTCCCGAAATGACAATCATAAATGATTTTTCCAACCAAAACTTCAGACTCAACATTCACCGTGATCATCAGAAAGTTTATCAAAACCTCTTTAAAAACTGCATTTCCTTCTATTATACCTTTCCGTCACTACTTCCAACAACCATGAGGTAACCTCCATCTCCGTCGAACTCTATTGCAGTAACCTCCTGTAGTTTATGCATATCATTAACAACCATTAAGAAAAGATCTGGTTTCTTCAACTACTTTAGCAGAAAACTACCTGGTCCCCATTCCCAGCAGGTGCAACAGCATTTATCCTGCCAACTGAAGATCTTGCTCTCATGTCAAAGCATTCGAGAGCACCATCCTGCCCTCCACAAGCAACTAATCCATGGAGCTTGCTAAAGTGCAAAAGAAACCAAAAGATCACAGAAGAAACTGTCATACAGAAGGTATAGCAAAACTAAAAAAGCCAAAAAGAAAATTCTAAAGAAAAAAAGAAACATGGTTTTAAAAGGTGAGCAAAGCAAAATCAATTTCTAACCTCCGGGAAACCACATTAAGTGCCGGGGATCGTGTGCTCAGTGAGGAAAGGAAGCGTCCCTGTTAATAGAATATGATAGTCTCAGTAAACTACACAAGCAAACATCAACACTATAAGGGGGAAAACTTCAATTAGAATAGGGTGAAATTCGACATCCAACTTTTAGGCTGTACAACTTTCATTTTTCTTTGAAAATGCAGCAGATTATGATTTAACACTATAAAGCTCCATTTATCCTTGGGATCAATGCCATAGAAATCTAGGTGAATTTTAACAGCACATTTACTATTCTTTTCTTACCCTTCTCTTCTCTTCCCTTCCTATAAGTTGCTACTCCGAAACAGCTTAGCCTTTGTCCCTTTTTTTTCTTTTTTTTGGCCCATCGTAACTTTCGGTCAACAACATATTGATCTATAACAGCCCAATCCAAATCACCTGAACACTAGATAACATGGAAAGTGTATAGCTAGCAGAAGACCTGTCCAGATACATATTTTTAAGTCTGAGTGTTTGTTCATTAGAATGTTGGCAAAAGCATTAATGGATGTGGTGCATTCACAACAGAAATTCAAATAAGTGAAATCGAATGAGGAAACATTTTTTTCATAATTCAAGCGGTGTTGTTGAGTATTGCATCTGTTGCTACTGGTTTGCTAAAATAATTAGTTGTTTCGTCATAGGAGTAGTCTTCTATTTTTTAAAATTCAAATTTTTGTTAGATATTTTAGGTTGTTGAGATATTTTAGGTTTTGAATATTTGTTCTGCAGATCTTTTGCAGATTTTCTTGTTTTCAAGTGGCTATTTAGAGCCCTATGGTTAATAAAATTTTAAGCGATAAATTTTCAATAATAATATTAACCTTCTTACTAGCGGTATCAGAGCGCCAACAGGTCTTACAGGATCTATGAGCTCACTAAAAAAAGAGTGACTTGTAAAATCGACTTAGCTCATATCTATGTTTATCCTTATTTCAAACATGGCAGGCAATAGTCTCTCTTTGAATCTCCCACAAAACTTCACTAGTGAAAACTATCAAATTTGGTATATCAGAATGAAGTTTCATCTTGAGCCTATGATCTATCAAAAGTTGTAATGGAAGATAGACCCTTACAACGTCTCTCAAAAAAAATACAACAACAACAACAACCTAGTATAATCCCACTAGTGGGGTCTGGGGAGGGTAGTGTGTACGCAGACCTTACCCTTACCCAGGGTAGAAAGGTTGTTTCCGATATACCCTCGGCATCCTTCCCTCCAAGAACTCACCACCTTGCTCTTGGGGTGACTCGAACTCACAACCTCTTGGTTGGAAGTGGAGGGTGCTTACCATCAGAGCAACCCCTCTTGTCAATCTCTCAAAAAAAAAATACCCTGGGTAGTCTCTCAAAAAAAAAATACCCTTATGTAAATTCAAGCTCATCCAGAAGAGCCTTCAGACAAAATTGAGTTACTGAGACAATTATATAGAAGAAAACAACCCAACCATAGATGATGTCATAGACCAATGGCGAGAAGTTGGAAATGAGAAGAAAATCTTGTATTTACTGACAGACATAAAGCAATAGTCAACTTCAATATAGGTGCACATATTACTTAACTATTGTAGAGAAACTGGTGCCATGACAAGTTCAGTTAAGCATTTTGAAGAAAAAAAATTGTAATTGTGCTGCAAAATTTGCCACTTTTTGTTTAAAAAAATTAACTTATACAAACACATGAACGGATCAAACACTTAAACTGAGGAGGAAAACCTGCTCCAGATTTATTCTGTAGAGATCTGGTGATGAGGCAGCGCAAAGCAAATCACAAGACCAGCAATCATATACAATATCCCTTCCCATCCTAAATAAACAGGAGAACATATAAGTGATGTTAAGCTGGCATTTTGATACAGTTTCGTACAAAAAAGTAACAGTAAATTTCAGCAGCAGAGAGGAAGAGCAAAAGCGTTGGGGATTAGCTCCAAGATGAAAGTGACAGATAGTTGAGCAAAATCAAAGAAATCCAGCAAGATGTAATGTACATATCATGCCAGCAAAATATGCAGCTAAGATGTCTGAGTTGCTACTGCAGTAAAGTATCATGACAATGCAGGAAAGATGTTGACCAGATAATGGAACATAAATTAGAGTAAACCACCCAGAAATTTGTCTTTTGTAAATTTTGAGATTCACTGACTGAAGAATGTCAGGTCTTCCATGAGATACCCAGGATGCATGGAGCTAAACAACGTTCTTTCCTCTTCAGGCAAAACTGATAAGTGCACCTAAATGCGAGCTCCTTGGAGTTCACATTCGGCTTTAACAATGACTAGTTTAATTCATTCTAAGCCTGATAATTTTCATCTGATCTCTAAGAAAGGAAATGCGAGCTAAACAACGTCCTTCCCTCTTCAGGCAAAACCGATAAGTGCACCTAAATGCGAGCTCCTTGGCGTTCGCATTCAGCTTTAACAATGACTAGTTTAATTCATTCAAAGCCTAATAAATTTTCATCTGATCTCTAAGAAAGGAAATGTTGAAGCATTAACTTATCTAATTTGTGACCTCACAAAGAGTTGGCTGAGTAATGTGCATTCATTCTCTGCCTATGTAGGCTTTAGGGGTTTGTATAAAAGGGGTAGTTTATAGGCTTTGGGATTTGACCAAGGTATCCAATACATTAACGTATAGAGTTTCAGACAAGGATACTAGTTTGTATGAAAGTTTATACTTAAATATAGGTCATGAAACAAGTAGTGACACACAAAGTGGCATGCTTTACTTGCCGGTAGTTAAGAGAAGCTGCTCTAACACGGGATAAACTGAGAAAAAGGGAAATATCAATTTGTTCAAGGTGCTACTTTTGTGGTCAAGAGGCAGAGACAATCAGCCATCGGTTTCTACATCGTAGGGTCACTAGTCAGCTATGGCATTTGTTCATCAACCTCAGGGATATTTGGAGGACAATGTCAGGAAGAACATCTGAACTTTTTTCACGCTGGAATGAAGGGGAAAATTGTAGTGCTACCAACAAAAACAGATGAAATTTGTCCCTGCAACTATTTGGCGGAGGCGGACAGTTTGGAACGAGAAAAATTCAAGATGCTTTGAGGATACAGTCAGCCAATAGCTTGTTTGGCCAAGCTTCTCCAAAGCCAAAAGCACTTTTTTTTCAAAGTTGAAGTGTTCGGCCATGCTTTTGGGAGAAAAAAAGTGCTTTTGAGTAGAAAGCAGAAGCAATTTTGGAGAAGCAGAAAAAAGTAGCTTCTCCCCAAAATACACTTAAAAGCACTTTTTAAAAGCTTGGCCAAACACGAATTGTTGCTCAGAAGTACTTTCAAATTAATTAGCCAAACCCAAACTGCTTTACTTTTGGAGAAAAACACTTTTGAGAAAAAGCACTTCTTAAAATAAGTTGATTTTTGAAGCTTGGCCAAACAGGCTATAAGATAAATTGTATTCTTCTCTTTTGCTTTTCGTAATCTAGAATCAATTCTACAAGTCGTAGATTCCTTGTAAGAAGAGCGAGGATTGTAATTTTGAGCTTTTTTGGTTTTTGTAAACACCCTTTTGGCTTCCAGCACAAGCTTTGTGCTAAAAATTTATCAATCTACTGCTAAATGTTACCTTTTACCAAAAAAAAAAAGTAGTGACTATCAAATAGTATGAAACTATAAACTGGCTTACTGAATTTTTACTTCTGCCGAATTATGTGCAGATAAAAGCCAGAAGATATTAAAGAAATATTGAACCAAGAAAAGGAGAAGCAAAGGGCCACGAAATGCCTAGGGAAGCCCCTTTGAAGGCCAGTCATGGTAACCAGGATCGGACATTGAACGGGAAGGAATGCACTACAGGAATTCTCTGAGACTCTGATATCTCGCCACCAGGAGTGAACTTTATTCCAAAACCTAGCAGTATAAATGAGGAGTTTCAGGATTAACTAAATTTTTCTGAAGGGTTGCAATTTTTTATGGCATTCAACCACTGAAGACCTTTCTTTTTTTGGTAAAATTATTTCAGATACATACGTAGATTATATTTATTCTCTCATTCAGTCCAGTGGTTTCTAAGCTTTCAAGTGAGAGAGGTTGGGCTCAATCTGTTGCCATTATGCAAGTGTAAGCATGCTAGAAGTCCTTCGCGCAGCTCAAAGTTATGTTGGCATTCTTAATACTCAACATGCATTGTTTTCTAAATTTTGCATTTCATCAGTATAGCTTAGCAGACAACATATGGATATGCACATAAGAATAAAACAAACAAAATAAGTGCGACCTTGGAATTCGCAAACTGTAATGACTTCCATATTTTGCATGGAGGCAGACAGAACGATCAGCACAAAGAAATGCCATTTTTGAGTAGTCATCGCCCAAGACCTACAAAAGATATCAAAGACGGAATATACATCAGTGTAGATTTCCCAGATTAATTAGAGAAGAAAAATGCAACAGAACATGTTTCCATGCTTCTGGTCTCCACAAAGAAAAAACAAACAGGGAACAAGCAAAAACATTTACTATCGCAGCACAAATAATTTTAGCAAAAAAAAATGAGCATAAGCATAGGTCATAAAAAGAAGCAATACTAATAAGAATCTACTATGTTATTTTGGGTGAAACGTGCAGCCTTCACAGAGAAAGAGAGGGAAAGCAGTCAGTACCTGAAAGTTAACGATCTCTGACACCAAATGCCTTTCGAACTTCAATGACAGCTCCCGCAGCTCATAAACTTTAACTTGAGGTGGGTAAATACCTGAAAAATCAATGTTGACAACTGATACAAAATAGAGGAAATACCAAGCAGCAAAAAGAATGTACTCATCTAATACATGTTCAATAGGGGTCT